ACACACACACACACACACACACACACACACACACACACACACACACGCACCATGAAAGCCTTTAAAATGTGGCTATCTACTATCCAAACTTGTTAAGTCAGTAAATAAAATAGAATAGAAAGGAACCTATGACATTGAAGAGACTTTTCTCCAACCATAATATCCTGGTGCACTTTAGACCCAGCAACAACATCAGAAAAATTGGATAATCTCAGGGACAAAAGACCCAAACATGAGCTAAGCAATGCTGCACAGTCCAGTGAGGAGTATCCAGTGGCCAGCTGAGGAGACGAGTGAAACACTTGAACAGCAACACCAAAGCAAGGCTGCAGGACCCGATCGCATTAGTCTTAGAGTCCTGCAGCATTGGTTGTCACTATTTCCAATGTCTCCTGGATTGCTGACTATCTCTCAGAGTGGCCTCAGTTTGTACAGCAGGGGAAGTGAGGAAGTTATTCAGGAAATGAATCATACCTGTCTCTATCAAACTGTACAATAACTCGCATGAGCACCCCTGTGAGGCATTAGATTCCACACGCACGGTCTGTTATTAACTCATTCACTGCCAGCCATTGGCAGTGAATGAGTTAAACCCATTGACTCATTCACTGCCATTGACGGCTATAGACGTCAATGGCAGTGAATGAGTTAAACCATCTTGCAGCTGGTTCCTAGATTGAATGCACATTTAAAATGTATTAATCCGATTTGCACCTGTCTCTTGCACAATCTCAGTTTTGTTTTTACTCTTCTTTAACTTGATTTTTTTTTTTATCACTGTTGATTATATATTTATATCTTGCACAGTATAATGCCATCACTAAGAGCCTGTGGCATTTTTATTTCAACTATGATGATAGTGTAGTGTAACACAAATAATTTCCCTCGTAGGATCAATAAATTACCTATTTACCTCACAAATAAGCCAAGTTTGGGACTATGTGACCCTTGCAAGTCATGTGCTGATAGGGTGGGTCAACAACTCAGGACCCCCAACAAGGTGACAACCCCACTAGATGTTTCACACCTGGGATTCCATTTTAGATCAGAGGCTGAACATCTTTAAGAATCAAATATAGAAGTCTATCTGCCTTCAACTCAAGCTCATAAGACGACCGTGACCTGGATGACTGAGAACCTACATAAACATGCTCCATATGAAAAATGAAAAACAGATGCACAAAGTAATAAATTCTTTTCAAGTGATATCACTTGAGACCTTATGTTGGAAAACGAAACACAGGCTTAGTATGATGCGAATTCCCTGGAACTCTGCAGCTTTCCTTTTAACACCCAAGCAGACGTGAGGAGGTGACTTCCAGCATTCCTGATTATGCTGAACAGATTCCCAGGATTTTCAATCCTACATTGATGGGAAACTTCGACGTAGAACTTGTCATCTACCAATCGGAAGGTCTGTGGGCAAGCTACTGAATCCAGAGCTGCTCCCAATACATCCATCAGAGTGTGAGTGTGTGAACGAGTGTTAGATTGGCATGACTGGGTGAATGAACCACGTAGTAAAAAGTGCTTTAAGTTCTCAGAAAAAAAAAAAGTATAATGCTTTGAGCTTTTTAGAAAAACATTTATTGTTATTTTCACGTTAATTGTGTAGAGGCATGTACTTCATTCACAAAATAGGAACAGTAAAATTAATCAGACAAGAAAAATATATGCTGTCTTCTGTTTTCTTACATTATCAATATATATATACATACATTGTAAAATAGGACATTGTAACAAAAAAGAATCCAGAATGTAGCAAAAAGCAAGTTATGATGGCTACATCTGCACTGCACCATGAACACAGATGTAACGTGTTGTCAGTCTAAAAACAAAAAAGAAAAGAAAAGCTGATATTAGACTGAGGTTTTCAGATCCTTCTTCCATTGTCAAAGGAGTTTTTATGGCTTTATTTATAGAGTTGAAACGACACAGCTAGCTATAGTTAAAAAACAAACAAAAACAGTGACTTTTATAACACCATAAACCCCGTTATCATGGTAAAACATCTTTACAGAAGTTAGGCGCCATGCTTTTGAGCATTAATCAGGTATCATCTCATCGCTGCACAGAAGCTTCTGTCCGAGACCACAATATTACAAAAGAACACTCACTTAAGCATTACAAAACACACACACACACACACACACACAGGCGCACTTTAGTCTCAAGGACAAACAGCCCAGAGAGAATACAGGCATTTTTAAAACAATAGGACAAGTCCACACTTTTAGAATCAGTGGCTGTAAATGATAAGTGGAATTAGCAGAGCTCCTTATACACGATACAAAAATGTCTTCTTATTTTTAAAGTTTAATTTCTTGAAATTTTTGAGTGCGATTTTTAGAAAAGATCTACATATAATCAGAACATAACCATGGCTTGGATCATGATCTTAGAAATTAATTTAACCTGCTACCTTTTTTTGTTTGTTTTGATTCAACCACAGTGTCATTATACAATAGTGAATATTCTCCAATAACTGCTCTGCAAAAAGAGTTATTATAAATATACTTGGGCTCAAAAGGTCAAAGATGATTGGAGGATTCAAGAAGTAAACAAGAAGTTTAAAGATCAGGCTGTTTTGTTGTTGTTTTTAAAAACACTCATACCTTTACTGTCCCGTCTGTGATACATTCAGCACATGTTACGATAACACTAACACGCTGTACATGATAGAAACAGCTGTAAACTTGTAAACCACCAGTGTCTGGTTGGATATATTCAGCAGGAGGCTTTTCCAGCAACACTCCGGGATGTGATCAGAGGTGTGAGGAATGGCAGACATCAGGACTTTGCTGCATCGCCTTACAATGCTGCACTTAAACAATAACATTTCTTGGAAAAGGAACTCACTCCTGAACAATTGTTATTTGGTCATGCTGACAAATGTGAGCAACACTGTCTTCTGGGTATTAAATACACTTTCCTTACAGATTTCCGCAGACCCCGTGAGTAAATTCCCAGATGTTACACACTGACACGGCACAGGAATTAAACAAGCTCACGCTCAAGATCACAACAATGAGCCGATTCCAAAATACAGACATCCACACATGTCTACAGCAACAAGGTGAGCAGAGGCTGTAGCTCTATCAGAGGGGTTCAATTCACTTTCAAATTAAATCCAGATGAGTTATTACAGGAATTTAATGCATATTAAAGGATATTAAGAAAGCGATTTAACCTGAAAGTGAAGTGAGCCCCGAGGAAGTGATGTAGTGATATCAAACACACACACACACACACACACACAAAGAAAAGACATTTAGCTGAATGAGTGGACAAACAGGACTCTTGTCTCCACCTGCTGGCCAGCACTGGTATTGCACGGACATCATGACCCTCAGCAGGTCGGAGCGACAAATGTACAAAATATTGCGCCACGACTACTGTTGAATTCAATTTGGTTATGATGAGATTGGCCAGTGAGGTTAGGATAAAGCTAATATGCTGTAAACACTTCAGGTTCGGAGGTCAGAGCTCCTGACAGGCCAGCCCTTATTTGGCAGAGTGTTGGTGTTCTTTGTAAAGGTTGAAGCACTGAGTTGTAGAAAAACAGGCTGTGCACATTGCGGGCTAAGAATCATGGATCAGCCTCTTAAAGAACAAATAGTGAGCGAGCTTCACCTCCAAAGTTAAACCGTCCAGTCAAAGCAGCAGGTTTTGTTTTTTTTCCTTTGACACAAGCGGGCCATAAAAAAACACATATAAAGCTGATTCTTTTAGTCTGTTAGTAGGAAAGAAGAAAACTTACTGCCACTTCAACTGTTACACACAATCTCTCTCTTTCTCACACAGACACACACACAATACATTATATTAAAAAAAAAGGAGAAAAAAATCAAATGATCGAGCAACATCGATAACACCTTTTTTTTGTTTAAATTTAAAAAAAAAAAAAAAAAGCAGCACTTTTTTCTTTGATGGATAATCTACAAAGTGCAAATGTGCCATCTTGTGCTCTGATGGATTAAAAAAAAACAAAAAAACAAAAACAAAAAGTCTACCCAAAACCTGGCTAGAGTTTCCTTGTGCACGGATTCACCGTGTGGTGGAGTCTTCTGTAAGATAGTCCAGGTTTGTTGAGAAGCATCCATCTCAAGAGGTGTCAATCATTGTTACGCGTATACTCGTTAAAAAATGAGACAACATGAGACTCAAGGGTAAATCGATGCATCTCCACATCGTGTACTGCCTCTCTAAAAAACCAAAAACAAACCAAAAAAAGCTGTTCCAGGCTCTCCTCACTGCAGCTTTGTATCTCCAAGTCTTGGTGGACCTGGGAGGCTTTCAGCAGTAGCACTGATTCACTTTAATGCGGTCCTCGTCAATAAATACTTCAATTGTGAGAGGTTAAAAAAAAAAAGCAACAGAAATATGAATACAGTATACTGTTAGTATGTGTGTGTATGTATGCGCATAACTGCAAACAACCTTGTCTCATGTCTTACGAAGAGAGGTGTGAGATGCGTTCATGACACTGCATGTGGAAATGCTAATGCCACGGAATACATGACTGTGATAATGACTGCATTTCCATAGTTACTGTGAATGTATTTAAATGGGCATCTGCTGGCAGACTGCTGAGAAACTGAACTCTAGCTTTGCTTAAGGCATCGAAGTAGATGACTGAGGTGCTTCTCCTGTGGCAGGAAAGAACAAAAAGAAAAAGAATTATATATACATACATAGATTTATTACTTACACAAAGCAGTTCTATCTGGAAAAGTCAGACTGACCATTAAGCGAGAGCCACAGACTCGCTGAGAGGTGGCTGACTGCAATTACCTGGTTAGGACTCGCTCTCCATTGAGATTGTAATGGTTTCGCTTTCAGCTGTGAAGACAAGCAGAACAGAATACGTGATAGAATTTACATCAACAGCTCAGCCTTTCTATGTAATAATAACACCCCTGCTGGGACTCACCTGATTTGAGGGTGTCATTTGCCAGATGGTCTCCGATGTTATTAGCATGCTGCTCGTTGCTCAGGAGGCGATTCTGAGACTCGCTGAGTGGACTCACGGTGATGTCAGCAGCGCTGGAAAAATTAGCTGCCATTAGCACCATTTTTCTCAAAATAAAAGCCCTATCAGAAGCTTCTACTATTGCACCGGGATTTAGCACCTTTTACTGGGCTCTGACTGCAGTGTCACTGTGGCCTGCTCCACGTCGGTGTTGACCAGTCGGGTGGGGAACGTCAGACCATCTCCCTGGCTGCAGTAAGCAAGCAGAGAATCTAAAGATTAAGAGCTGTCAACTGATTAGAAAAAACCCCAAAAACCGTGAAGCTGAACTTCCTCAGGAGCTGCTGCAACCACAGACTGTATATAAAAGATGGACACACCATAATGTTACAAACTGTTCTGCAGACTGCTGTTTTAAAGGCTCGACTTTAGCATCTGGCACTTGTACTTTATAAACCCGATGCAACAAGTGATAGGTGGAGCCTGCTTTATTTTATTTTCGTACTCTAATGTGAAAGTATTTAATACAAAAAAGCATTATTTTATATTAAATATGGCTTGAAATTAGCATGTGTAGCCATAATTTAATCTGGAAAACACTTAGACATTTTGTTACAGACTTCTATTAAAAAAAAAACTAAAAAAAACAACAACAAGCAACTTGAGTTGCTGCCCCCTGCTGCCCATTACAAAGAATGCAGGTTTAAGACACTAGATTCACTTTTCGAACCCATATAGTCTATGCTGCAACAAAGTTAGGCTTATATTTAAAAGAATAACATCACAGCTTTAGCTTTTACTTCAGAATTTAAACAATTATACCAGATTCTTCAGGTTTTGTTTATTTAACACAGAAATCCTGGTCTTCCTGGTTCTGTTGTGCATCTTTTCCGTTAGTACCTACTCAGATCGACTCACCACGACTCAGACTGGTTTTTCCATTACAATCAAGTACCACTAAATGTGTGTGGTTGTTGTCATAGCAACGTGGCCAAGGGTCCTGTGACTTAATTAGTATGCAACAACTTTGCCAGGTTTCAAAAATGTCAGTTTCAGTTTTTGGTAACAATACACTCGTGACTCATCTTTTGACGCCATTGACCAGCCAATCGGTGGCATCCAGTCTGACATCGTCACATTTTAGTACCTGCTCTGTTTGTTTAGAACCTCGGCTGAGCAGGTACTATTTTAATACCTGGTACTATGACCTAATGGAAAACTCTGAAAATCGGGGCACACTGTGGTGAGTCGATCTGATTAAGTACTAATGGGAAAGGGGCTTTAGATCTCCTCTGTCTGAAAGGTACTCCTGGATATTTCCCTTATTTCTCAAGCGGTCGGCACGGCAGATGGAAGTACACATGATTTGGCACACACTTTACACTGGATACCCTTTCTGATGCAACTCATTTATCTGGGCTTGGGATCTGCGCTAGGAATCCACTAGCTTGTTACCTTCAGAGGCTTGGGTTTTGTCTCCTCCCGGGAATCTTTTGTGTGTACGGCAAACCACAACACTCCCTTTAATGTCTGTCTCTCTCTCTGTGAAAGTTTTTCTCTCTCTCTTTTTTTTTTTTTTACCTTGTGAAGACGGGCAGCAGCCAGTACTTCTTCTGGTCACCAAAGACCTGAGCAATATTCTTTCGGAAACCCAGAGAGAAACCATTTTTATCAGAGCCTGTCCTAAAGACTGGTGCTCTGAATGCCTCTGCAGGGTAAGAGGAAAATGATAAGAGAAGAGGCAAACAGAAGGGAAAGAGAACTGTTAGACAAACACTAAAGGAGGGGAACAAAACTCCGTCCCTAGCAACAAAGTTATTCCAGTGATAATGATGACAAAAAAATGACATTCAACTTGACAAACTGTTAGAATATTTGAAATCACTGCTAGATATTAAATACAAGGAAAACGATACCTATTGTCGACCTGTTCTTCCCTACAAGCCAAAGGTGGTAGCTGAAGAGGGACAAAATACTGATGCAGAACATGGCGGCCACAAAAAAAAGAAACAAGACGTGGAATTTGGCAGGCGTGTCTGTCAGCTCATTCTAGGGGGAGAGACGGGAGAAGAGGAGAGTCAGGCAGCTATCGATAACAAATTCACATCGGAGATATTTCTGGAAATGCAAGAGCAATGACAGAGAGCTGATATAAACAAAAAGAAAAAAAAGGCAGAGAAATGACTTTTAAAAAAAGTCTCATGTGAGCCACTTCACTTGCATGCACATCACGAAAACAACAACGGTGAGGACGGTGGGGGAGGGAGGAGGCATCGGAGGATGGCTGTGTTACCTTTGGGCAGTTTTCTGCCGATTTCCTGCGGCAAAGCTTTAGTACAAACAGAAACAAGAGTGGTTAGCAACACCAGGAGAGAACAGACGGGAGGGGGGAGCACTTAGAAATCAGGAGGCAAATAGAAGTCAAGGCCAAGTTGGGTGGAAAAGTGGGGAGCTGCGGGGGAGGTGAATGAAAGAGAGTGGGTTGAAAGAAAACTGTGCCCGGACTGGCAAGAAACAAAGGGATAAAAGAGGAAGAGATGAGAGAAAATTGAAGTGAAACAGCTACGAGAGAGAGAGAAAGGAGGTGTTTGCGGGCACATGAGTGGTGTGACTGATGGCTCCGATAGTGGAAAGGGAGGCAGAAAAAGAGAAAAGATCCGAGAACAATGAGCCAGTGTGCGAGAACTGGGGATAAAAGAAAGGGGAAACAGAGGGGTAGGGCGGGGGCCGGTCAGAGGGTGAAGGGTGAGAGAGGACAGAGAAAACAGAGGAGCGGCACAGCGGAGCACAGGAGAGGTCAGCGCCATGCACAGCCAACTCAAGAGATGCTCATCCTGACTACGACGTGCCACCCGATTCTGCATCTGTGTCACACATTCACTCCATGCTGTGGGGCGAGTGGGCATAAGCGTGTCGGTGCGTCGCTACTCACTGTCCAGAATTTAATGAAATACTGCAGGACGGTGGCTGCAATGAACAAACAGTACACCAGCGAGTAGGCCAGGAAGAGGATGAAAAACTTGTAGTTGGAGAATCCCACACAGTTGTTCACCCTGCAGACACACAAACACCACATTTGGATGCAGTTTCTTTTCCAGTGCAGAAACCTTATCAAAGTTTGCAAAAGGTGGAGGCTACTGGTGAGGTAGCACCAAACAAATGGCATTATCAAGCAGTTTCTGAAAAGGTGTAGCAACGTGTCGTAATTTAAGGTATGTTAGTTATAAAGCGTGAGAACAAAGTAAAATGAACTTCTGTCTAGAAAGCACTTTATTCTTGGTTAACTAACTCAATGCACCAACAGGATGTGGCTCTTACATACCAGGGACAGTGATGATCCATCTTTAGCACACACCTGCCAAAAATAAAAAATAAAAACAAAAGATTAACTTTAAAAAACTGAAGAGTAAGAGAAAAATTTTAAGGAAAGAAGAAGATTCCCTTACATGTCACATGCTGAACAGTGATGACATCTGTCTGGCTTGATAACTTGACAGCGGTCGCAGTAGCGGATCGCTGCAATAAATTAGCACAACAATCATCATGATAACTCAATTCCAAACAGAACAGATTCATTCTCATTTACATTCAGTGACACAGACGTACCGCCAGCGCCTGTGCGGGTGTACAGAGGGAGGCTGCTGGCAGCTCTCCACAGGATCTCTTGCTGGGACTCTGGCCTCTCCTCCTTCTCATAGCGTTCCTTTTCAGCCTTGGGGAGGCAAAACTGGAGGGAAGGGAGCAAAATACCTTTTTTAAGCTGCCATTTACTGCAGCAGGGGATTACACACAGGCAGACAGAGCAGGCTTGTTTTGTTTTGGAGGATTGGATTAGTGTTATACCTCTTTGGAAGGGTTAGCAGGCTTGGTGAAGATGGTCTTCCAGTAAGACCACACAAACATGACGAATGAGAGGTGGAAGAAGATCAGGTAGACAACTGGAGGGGGGAAACTGAGCATCAGGATCAAGGACATACGCACTGATATGTGGGTTATATAAGGAAATGCCACTGTAACGCAAAACATGGCCTGAGAGCAAAAAAAAAACCTACGCTGTTAATTAATTAGAGAGGAAAGCTAATAGTTTATGCTGGATGAGGAGGAGCTGCTGGGCTACAATCAGGCCAACCTCAGCACTTTGAGAGGAAACACAATTTCTGTGCCAGCCTTTTCTTTAAAAAGCCAAGTCTTCAGAGTACTTTTCCAGAAACTTAAGTAAGATTATGCCAATAAAAAACTCTTAGCTCAGTAAAATTCCATTTACGATTTATTAAACAAACATTGTTTGATGTCCTGGGACACTTACTCTGCTCTCCTATGCTGGGGATGGTGACTGCAAAGAGAAAACATAGACAATATATGTCAGATATTATATATACTGATAAACTTTTATACATTATGGTGGAAACAACCATATCATTTATCCACACTGTATTCACTTCTACAAAGCATGCTTTTCAAAATACTGATACTGTACATGAGTAACGAATTAATTAAAGGGTTGGCATGTTTTACAGTTATCCATATCAGAAATTAAGTAACTACAGCCCCCTGCCCCCTTAATTAAGGAAAAAAGTTTTCCCCTATGCATGTAACCAGTTCCCATATTTACGCCAACATATCTGATAAAAACCAAAAGAAAACCAGTAGAAACTTTCACCTAGTGGTTTATCTAATAATAAATAAATAAAGCCTAAAAATGGGGCGGGAAGAAAAATAAATAAATACATAGTCACAACTCAGGAGCACAGCAGCCATGCAATCTTTTCTATTGCCCCATTAATCTCCTACACAATGTCAAGACAATTTAATTAGTCCACCTTGCTGTTGTTAAGTGTACCTTTTTTCCACTTCCAAATAGTTAACAAAGATTAAGTATTAGGAGCTGACTAATAAAAATACACATGTTGAATTTTTCACAGCTGAATTACAGGACTTAGACATAACCTTACATGAATTTATGTATTTTTTTTGGGGGGGGGGGGGGGGACAATCCGCAACTATTGCCTTAAGCCAGTTTAATTAAAAGAGACATGTTGTGTGGTATTTATATGTCAGCCAGTCAAATACCGTTTATTTCTCCATCCACACTCATTTAATTTCACATAAAACCACAGAGACGAGACGGGTAGCTTTAACATAAAAAAGAAAGCACAGTGCTAGTTTTTCTTTGACTAAAACCGTCCTCTTTTGAATATATGGCAACCCAGGCGATGGCAACCAACAGAAAATTAGCTGGATCTAGATTTGGACGGGTTTGCCAACACCTTTGTTGGGCTGCAGTTCATTTACTTCCTGCTGGCCAGCAGCCGCCGCTGTGTTTGTGTGTGTTGTCAGGAAATATGGTTAGCACCGGCTTTTAAAGGCCTTGAAAGAAGCGACAGACGACGGCGAGGTCTCTACTTACATATACAAAGCTCCACCACGTAAGCGTAGTACGACCAGCAGACGACGAGCGCGATAAAAATCACAGGTATCCATGCTAAGCCCCGTTGACAGCATCTCAGTACGTGTGTGGGCGCCATCTTTCCCCCTCTACTGTGGAGAAGGGAGTGTCGACGGGTGACGTCACGATAACAAAAAATGTGAAACAGGGAGGTGAGCCGAGCGATGATATACGACCAGGAAACCAAGTATAGTGCTTCAGTATAAAACATAAAATACAACAAAGGCACCAAGCCCAGCTAGGTTATCACAGTTGTATAACATGTAGCACGGCAAACCCTAGTAATGTAGACTAAATTGATATATTTCCTGCTGTCTACGTGTCCAAATGTATCTCTGTATAAAGAATTATGGATTTTAAATAATATAGAAAAATAAACCTTAAGATGAATATGTTGGCAATAATAAAGCGGTTTAATTGTAATTATACTATTTATTTACCCGTAATTCTTAAAAAAAAAAAACACTAAATACTCGACATACTTTTTAAAAAACATTAAATCTTTTAATCGTTTAATCGCACTTTGCTTCATAACACTAACACATTTCTGATCCATTGGTGTGTTGTTGTTTTTTTTTCAAATGCATTTTGAAATAAAAAGCAGTGAGTTTTATTTAGGTTGGATTTTACTAAGTTTTTTTTTTGTTTTGTTTTTTAAAGTAGGCATTGTACTTTGAACTTCCTTGAATACGCCATATTGCTCACAGCCGGACAGAAACACAAAGTGAAACACGGGAATAAACCTGCTTTAAGTATATAGAAACGCCATAACCAGAAGCGAAAATGACTTCCGTGGAAATGGACTTGGGGAAATATTTAGCTCGCATCGGGTTTACGGGCCCCGCGGAGCCCAGCCTGGAGATGATGCGGACGTTGCACACCTGCCACCTCCTGTCGGTGCCGTTTGAGGACCTCACGGTGCACAGCGGGGGTCGAGTCCAGCTCGACCTCCCCCTTCTGTACGACAAGATCGTGAACCATCGCCGAGGAGGCTTCTGCTATGAGAACAACAGCCTCTTTCGCTGGCTGCTGACCGAACTGGGCTTCCAGGTGACTATACTCTCAGGCCAGGTGAAGAGCAGGTTCACGGGTTGCTACGGGCCACCTTTCGACCATTTCATCCTACTGGTTGAACTTGAGGGCCGGCGATGGCTGTGTGACGTCGGGTTCGGGGTTCCCGGTTTCAGTGTCCCGCTGTCACTGGACACTGAAGACCCCCAGGAGCAGAGCCACCGAGTGTACCGGATCAGGAAGGACCTGGAGATGCACTTTGTGGAGTGGCAAGAGGAAGAAAACAGAGGAGTAGATGGAGACTGGAAAGAGATCTACAAGTTCACCCTTAAACGTCGGAGTAAGGAGGACTTCACTGAGATGTGCCAATACCACCAGACCTCCCCCAGCTCCATCTTCTTCTGCAAGTCCCTCTGCACTGTTCTGAGACCTGGCGGGAGGCTCACCTATATAGGCCACAGATTGATCACCACCACATTCCCAACAGAAGAGAACAGGCATGTGGTGGAAACCATCACAGAACTTAAAGATGAAGAGATTCCTGGTGTTCTAAAGGAAAAGTTTGGAATTGTACTTAATTCCACGCTCATAGCAAAGGATGAGAAAATCACACCACCTCTAATCACATATTAAACATACGCACAGTTATATGGGATAAATTCATACCTCTTATGGCTCCATAACAACAAAATGTATGAATACTCTAAGATTAGGGCCAATGGCTTTTGTTTTTAAATCCATCTAATCACTGAGGTCTGAGCAAAGCAATTTATACATTATTTTAACCTTTGAGTTAGAAAAGTCTCTACCTCTGTTAAAACCCAGATGTACTTGTTAATCAATCGCAGACACTGATCTGCCATGAGAAAAGATGCAACAGAAAATAAACTGTCATTCTGATTTAATAAATTATACATACACTTTTAAGATGTACAATGGTCATTGCATTAATCCACATCAGTCCTTTAAGACAAAGTCCCCTTCCAAAGTATTTACACATGTACATTTAAATCAGGCAGCACTTTATAAAGCAAGGCATGAATCTCAATACAGATGTTGGGCTTCAAATGAAAACTTTAATGCTCCTGCCTATTCTGTTTGTTTGAGGGGATTACTCAGCTGTCCAGTTATTACACTAAGTTTTCCCATCCTGACTTTGATGAAATGAATTTGAATAACACCCATAAAGTCCAGCAATAATCACAGGTGATTTCAAGGATTACAGTCTGAGGGTTGAGCTGAACCCCCCACCCCCCAAAAAAAACAACAAAAAAAAACAGACAGGCCATGGGCTGGACGAGATGTGCGCAGGGTCATGGGTTCAAAAAAACCAAACATGGCATCATGTGACACAAATATTTATTCTACGACAGGGTTGGAGGGTGGGATTGAGCTTCCTCTGCCAGCTTTGCGTTCGTAGTTGACAAGCCTCTGGCCGACCAGGTACCTGCAAAGACAGATTATTACAGCATTATTACTATTCATTTTTATGCACTTAACTGAAGGCTACACACACAGTATGAAACAATAATCCAAAAATATCCAACTAGAGCAAAAAGTCTGAACAA